GGACCCTGCTTAAAAAAAGACTATTTGTAAGAAATTTAAAAGGATTAAGTTAGAGAATGGTGAGGGGACAAACATGCGATATAAAACTTGATAGCTGTAAATAAAAAAAATCTATTGAAAAGGGCTTTGTGACGATCTGTGACGATCTGTGTTTGTCTCTGCAGGCCCGAAAACATATGGGTATAAGCTGTCGGGAGATAAGGCCTGTATGAAAGTCAAAGGGATTACTCTGAACATAGAAGATCAACTTTGACAGTTTGAAAGATCTAGTCCTGGACTATTGCACGGGCCTGTGAGAAAAAACTCAACAAAGATAGAGGTGCAGCAGCCCTCTATCGTAATGAACAAAAATCAGTGGCAAATAGAGACAAAAACCCTTAAGAAAATGCAGAAAGTTGTTTACAACAAGAGGGTCCTAGGCTTTTGTAAATGGATACAAGGTGGTATATTATAAAATAAAAATGGGGTATATTCCTGAGGTGCAGCGCTGGGAGCTCGGGGGATCTGGCTGGTGCCTTTCTTGTGTGACTCATGAGTGGCTCTGGGAGCATTCATGCAATCTAGCTGGGTGTGGGGATCCACATGTGGTTGTGCTGAGTGATCACAGCGCCTGGAGCGGCTTGCTGCTTCTCACTAGCAAAGCACTGTGAGACACAACCCAGATTGGAGAGAGTTCAGGGGGCACAGGGGTCCCATGGTCCCAGGCTGCACCCCGGGGATCCCGTCACAATGGTCACTTACACCAAAAATCACATCGCTCTTAGGTTGCTTCCAAGCTAAAGAGACCAGTCACTTACCTTACTGGTACCCTAGATCCTACACCAAAACAACGCCTGTCGCCAATCCTATTATAAAGGTTTATTAACTAGGAAAAAGGAATAGAAAAGTTATCTGCAGGTAAAAGCAATCAAATAGACACACGCCAATGAGTTACCATGTAAATCTGAAGAGTGACAGATTTGTGGTGATCTGTCAATTCAAAGGGTCTTTCAGGGCAGACGTAGGAGGCAGTCCCTGGGGATCTCTGGCTTCAGTTCAGTCTCTGGCCCTTCTGAGTTCAGACAGCCAAAATGACGCAATTTCTTCTTCTCAGGGATTTTTATTCCCTTCCCCGAGAGTTCAAGAGCAGGGGACAAGTTCCCATCTGTGTCTCCTCTATATGGGTTGGGGGACGCAAGCAACAAAGTGTTTTGTCCTCTGATGTTCCACAATGGTTTGTCAGGTGTCTATGGGCTGCTTTTGCTGGGCAGGAAATAACACCTCTTGTGGCAAACTCATATTTCACACTTGGTCATGCTTCTCTCCACACTGTGGGCATTTACAGTTTCAGAGCAAACACTTATAACATTGGGTATTCACATTATCAGTGAGATTAATGCAGGCAGCAACATACAAGCATTTCATAGCATCTAAACACTAAAGACATTCTTATAAGACTAATATCTATTTAGAGCAAATCTAACACACAGGTGACCTGGTCTGGTCTCCAGCTATGAGATTGTAAGTTCTCAGATAATGCCGGCTGCCTGGGTAAGAGTGGGCATCAAACCAGCCAGGAGCACACAAGCCAGGCTGTTTTGCTTATCCGCCAGTTAGCCTTATTCACGCAGACACATGAATCCACATTCCTTCGTCTAGGGCCGGCTTCTTTATCAACTACATTCATAGCATATTTCCAGCATACATACGTAACACTTGCTACACAATCCGTGCATATATCATGCAGTGGTGTTCATGACCAACGGGTTACCAGTTTTTATATGATACCTGACAAGATGCTGGTTGGCTAAATATTCTAGCAATGGTGTTTTGGGTGTGCCCCTCGCCAAGAGGCATAAAAGGACTCTTGGGGTATAAAGGGTTAAGGATATGGATGTCTGGAGGAGGGGAAGAACATGCAGAGAGACATAGAGAGAGTGTCTCCTCCTTATTTAGTTGCCTTCCAGGTGTGCGTTGTCACCACCTCGCTATACAGCACATGCTCATCTTCAGCAGGTTTTGGTTTTTTTGTCATCTGGGACGTGTGGGCCTGTGAGGCCGGGAATGCTATGAGTGCGTAGGTGACTTCTGAGCCCTGGTGGGAGAGGAAAGAGACATGGTGAGGGGGAGGGGTGCACAGACACTAAGTACTTGGATGCTGGAGTGAAGAGTACGCCTATAAAATAGGTGGTTGCAAAGACATTGGAGGACAAGATCAAAGTGATCTTAAAAAAAGGGAGAATTCCCCTGAAATCAGTAAAATGGAATTCAGGGAAGTGCAAAGTACTCCCTTTAGGAAGGAAAAATTAAAGGCAGCAGGACAAAAGGGGTTTAACTTGTATGGCAGCAGTACTGCAGGAAAGGCGTTCTAGTGGAGCACAAATTGCACATGAGTCGATAGCACGATGCTGCTGAGAAAAAGGCTAATCTCATTCTGAGGTATAGGAACAGGACTGTCGTATATAAGACACAGGAGGTAACTGTTGTCCCACTCGGCATGGTGAGGACTCAGCTGGTTACTGTGTCGAGTTTTGTGTGACTCACTTAAGAAAGATGTGGATAAACTGGAGAAGGTCCAGGGAAGAGCAACAAAAATGATCAGAAGTTTAGAAAATATGACCATGTGGAAGGGTGAAAGAATTGGGCATGTTTAGTTTAGAGAGGGGGGACCTTATAACCATTTTTTTACATGACATTATAAAGAGGACAGTGCTCAATTGTTCTCTGTATCCACTGAAGGTAGGACAAGATGTAATGGGCTTAATATGTGGCAAGGGAGATTTAGGTTAGATATTAAGGGAAACTTTCCATCTCTAAGGGTAGTTAATCTCTGGAACAGGTGACCTAGGGAGGATGTCATCATTGGAGGTTTTTAAGAACCTCTGGACATCCCATTGGGATGGTCTAGGTTTAAGTAATCCTTCCTCGGCACAGAGGGCTGGACTAGATGGCTTCTTGAGGTTCCTTCCAGCCCCACATTTCTGTGATTCAATGGAGGTTTGGGGTGATGGTGAAAGGGATGATGAATTCCCAGCCCTGCCTCCTGTGTGAGCAAACCCTGTGCAGCATCTCTCTGTGGCTGTTACCTGGCTGCCCCACCCCAGAGAGGCAGCTGCATTTTAGGAGTGGGCAAAAGATTCAGGCCTTGCCGTTTCCAGGAGGTTGGACTGTGCTGGGGTTTGAAGCTTAGCCTATAAATCCATTCACGTTACCTGTTCCATCTGCTCTGCTCCAGCACCCGTGGCTTTTGATCCCTTATTATCATGACCAGGATCCAGGTTCCTGGTGTGTTCTCCAGGCTCAGATCCCTTGGTGCTTTTCAGAGGCTTTGGAACTAAAACAGAACCAGATGAGAATGGAGCTGAGGCGGGCAGAGATTGTGAGGCAATGCCTAGCTGCAATGTGCAACCTTGAGAAAGAAGAAGGTAAACTCAGCTTTGTAACTATTGATTTCAGTGTGTGTGTGATTTTGGGCCTTCTGACAGGACACAGGAGGAAAACGGTCCCACAATTTATCTGAATTTGTATAAATCGATATTTTCCCAGCCCAGAGGCATGAAGACGGCTGCACATTTTAAATTATTTTACCCTCACTTCGCCCTAACCACAACCAAAGGTCTTAGTGCTCACATCAGATGAAATGATTTGTCTTCAATCAAACTTCAACTGAGTTGGTTATTTGACATGATGTGTTAATAAATGGAACATGTATCACTAGACATTGGAAAGCCTATCAATATCTTTTTGAACTCTGTCTTCTTAGTGCACTTTGTCTTCTCATTGAAAGGTGCATACCTCCTTTACCAGGCATATTTGAGAATTTGGTTTCCGTACCCACACGGTGGTAGGATTCTTTGAGGTTCTTAATGGTTTAAAATTATTTACACTGATCACTAAAGAATAGTTTTTGATGAGACCATATCACAGGACCATGTGGGAGATCACACCCCCTTGCCCCCTTTCACTCACCTCTTTTCTTCCTATGGCAGTAGCAGATGAGAGCAGCCAGGGCTCCACCCATAAGCAAGATGCCACCAGTTCCCAGCAGAATATCACGGGTATAGTGTGAGGCTGTTCATGTAGCAGAAAAGAAAAGGGAGGGAAGGGGACATGAGAACAGCCAAGCAGCCATGTCAAAAGGTCTGGGACCCACAGAGGAATCCGCCCTTGAAACAAATTTGCTGTGACGATAACCTCTCGCTATGTTGTCTATTGCACATTCCATCTGTAACAGCCTGCTCCCCTTTTTTAAAGAGGGGAAGGATGGTCCAGTGGTTATGGAGCTGGTCTTCAACATGAGCTATGGGGGTTCAATTCCCTGCTATCCTGCAGGCCTCTTGTGGGACTCATCTTCTTTTTGCCTCTATTCCCCATCTCTGAAATGGGCACTGAAGGGCTAAATCCATTAACAACATTGTGAGGAGCTCAGATAATAGGTCACATGGCCATCGAAGTATCATAGATAGAAAGGGCATGGGAGGAGAGGGAGGATTTTCATCTCCACTTTAGTTTCTATCTCCATGTGACATCTGTCACCTCATCTGACCCCCTTTCCCAGGAGACCTCCAGGGGATGGTTCCCCTCCAATGGGAGCAAACCAGGAGCTGGATTAAGAAATTAGGGAAGCCTCACCTGTAACAGTGACATTAACAGCGTGGCTCCTGGGGGATGGGATCCACCTTCCACCCACGTTCTCCTCGTACCCGCAGGTGAATTCCCCGGTGTTGTTGGGACCGGCCTGCGGGATGCTGAGCACAGAGATGTTCATAGACCTGGTGCTGGGCTCTGTGGTGCTGATCTCAGACTCCACATCCCCAGGAACGAGCTCAACACTGTCCTTGTAGAAGTGAAACCTCCGCTGACCAGCATCCCTGGGGGCCGTGCAGGTGATGAGCAGGGGGAGCCCTTCGCTCACCACTCCGGATGGGGGATCCATGCTCAGCGAAGGCTGGGGAGGGGGATCTGTGGGGTTTAAAAAATGACAGGGATCAGCAGAGGCATGGCAGTGGAGAAAGTGGAGATGGTGCCCAGAATTCAATTTATTTACAGCTGAACTTTATTCTCTCTCCAGAGTCTCGTGCTTCTCTTCAGGATCCTGAGGGGCTCCCCACGGAAATGAGTGAGAGCCAGGCTGGGGTGGGGATTGCTTCCTTCAGATACAATGTCGGGCTGTGACATGGGGGTCAGAAGGTGGCCAGGGGCACCAGGACCTGACTCATTTTCTGTCACCTCTCCATTACTAATGCTCCAGCCCCTGATATTTACAGAGATCATGGTAGATAGGGAGGGCCCAGTTCTCTCTGCAGATCCCGCCCACTCTGGCCAGACTGACTGAGAGCTGGGTGGTCCTAGTGGGATTCTACCTTCCCAGAGGGGAGAAGCACAAGATGGCCATGTTGGACGCCCAGATCTGTTTCTGTTTGGCAGCCATGTCCTTGGCTATGTTGACTAGCCATAGGCTGTGCTGCTCTCTGAAGGGCGGCCATATTGGAAATCAGGCAGCCATATTGAAAACATGTGTCCTGGGCTGTGCTGAGCAGCCTCATTTTGTGGCTGTGTTGGCATCAGAATAGCAGCCATGTTGCCAGTTAGGTGGTCATGTAAAGCAGTGAGGAGGCCATTTTCCCAGTTGGGCAGCCATGTTAGCCCTGAATGTTGTAGCGTGAGGCTCATCAGCAGCATGAAAAAGCAAAGAGGGGGCAGAAGAGGAGGGGAGTAAAAGGAGCAGATGTATATAAGAACATAAGAACGGCCATACCGGGTCAGACCAAAGGTCCATCTAGCCCAGTATCCTGTCTACCGACAGTGGCCAATGCCAGGTGCCCCAGAGGGAGTGAACCTAACAGGCAATGATCAAGTGATCTCTCTCCTGCCATCCATCTCCACCCTCTGACAGACAGAGGCTAGGGACACCATTCATAGACTAATAGACTCATAGACTTTAAGGTCAGAAGGGACCATTATGATCATCTGGTCTGACCCCCTGCATGCTGCAGGCCACAAAACTGTCCCTACCCTTTCCTTGACTCTGCTGATGAAGTCCCCAAATCCTGTGTCTTAGTGACTTCAATTGTCAGAGAACCCTCCTGCTAGAGATCCCTTCCCCATGCTGCGGAGGAAGGCG